ATATTATACTGACTTAATTTTCCACAAATAAAAATACTAATAAAAAGTTAGTTCAGAATCACTAAATAGTTTGGAATTAGTCGTCTTCCTCGTGCTCACGTGCAATTAAAGTTATTTTTGTCACATTGTTGCTTTTTTTAAAATTATTTGCCCTAGTGATTTTTTCTTAAACACTTGTGCAGATAATAGAATGACTATTTTATTATGTTTGTATGGATAAATTGTTTTATTTTGTTGTATTTATTTAATACAAAACATTTTATTTAACTAAATTCTCTGTCCTGTGTTTTATTGTAATGGGCTGACCTGTTAACTTTCGTGCATAAAATACCATAAAACGCCTTAAAAAGTACACAAATTAAATGAAGTACTGCTTTTGAACCCTTTAGAGTAAATTCACAAGCTTGGTCTCTTTTTAAAGCTAATAATCTGAATTTGTAACTTCAGCAGTCATATTCTTTGTAACTGTTACTGGTATTTAGTATATTGAAGTAAAATACACAAAAATCAAGATATTTTTCTCTCTAAATTTTTATTTTTCATTAATAAAGTATCACAGAATATGAAGGGAATGAGATATTATCAAACAGATTTTACTGCGCTGAAATATTAATTCTCAACTATTACCAGTTCAAATTTGGTAACAGTAGCATAAAATATGAATATTTGGCACATAGTACAATCCAGCATGTCTCATTTGCACATTTGTACTCATTTACATATGTCCAAATTGTACACTTGTCTAAAACACTAATTTCAACACAGGGACTTCACTCTGGGCTCAAATTAAAGATAAAACCCCCACAAAACACATTCTACCATCCATATTTACTCACAGCATGATTAAATTAAAAAAACATATTAATATTCATAAATATTTACACCAACACTGTACTTTAAGCCAAATTTCCACCAATAACCAGCCAAAACACAAGAATAAACAATATATCCTTATATCTTTCAGAGAATTAACATTCCACACAGCTTATAAATCTGCCAGCAGCCAAAAAAAATTGTTTTTCACTCACATTTGATGCATATTTGTCCTCAAATATGTCCAAATTAGCAATTCAAAATAGCGACCGGAAGTCTTTTTATCCAAATAAAGTTACTTCTCCTGACCACAAAAATCCCTCTTGCATGTCTTGAAGCACTCGAAACACTTAATAACAAACATATTTTCATCTTATCAGCAGGTTTAGCCAGCTAACTGGCCAAAAAACGCTGGAAAACGTTTTCCTGTGAGCGTTAGCTGCCTTCCTTAGCATAGTAACACTGCCGAAACATGGCCGCCTCCACTGTGTTATCATCTTCCATCACTAACAAAGTTCCCACCCCCCATATATACATTAAATGAAAGGTACGGTGATTGGCTACACAGCCGTGGCATCAGAACAAAGCTTGGAGCTGATTGGCCGATTTTGCAGTCAATCAAACTAGAAAGACGGAAACCGGAAGTTGGTCACTACTGAGATATTATTGGCCCTAGACAGCCGAAACTTGAACCCAGTTGGTCAAATGAGGTGTCAATCGAAAGAGGAGGGCCTAGACATCAAGTTTGATGCATTGCACACAGACACACATGCGGAACAGGAAACAGATATTATACTTCAAAGTAAAACAAAAACAAAACAGCACGCGGGTGTTCCGCTGAATGGTAACAGGCTAAAGGAAAATCACAAATTATTCAGTGAACAGTAGTGTAAGAAAATTTAGTGTTCGTTAACTGAAATTGTGACAAAATCACATGAATGTTGAATAGATCAAAATGTGAAGAGATGGACCATACAACACCAGTGACTGGAGTGAACCGTGGTTTAATGCTCTCTGTGCAGGCATGAAACCAACGCTGAATGCAAACCGTAAGTCCCGGTCTATAAATACAAGGTTCTTCAGTGCCTGGTACACCCTCTACAGGCCTAAGGCTGAATCACAGACACTCGTACAGACAGCCTTTCCTGATGTTCATTAACAGTTTATCGATGTGATGCCATGGTGGTTCAGGCATGTAAACTAAACTATTTTAATCAAGACATAACAATTGTAAAACAATTGTAAGAACTCACTCTATGAAATTAATACCAGCTCAATCTCACAAAGTAATATCTTACGCCAGATCTTTGCGTTATGAAATCAAAGTGAAATGACAAGATATCAACTCTGATCATGAAAG